AATGATGAATAAACAGTGAGGAGGGGTATGCATAGATATACACAGCAGCCTGTGAGCAGTATGAACAGTGTGTATGAATATGCTAAGATATATAAAGTATGAAAACGGTAAGCAGTGCAAGTATAGTATAAAATATATAGATATTAATTTAATGATGATAAATATTGTGGAACAATGATGAAAAATGGGAATGAATGTGGCGACGTAAAACTGACACAAAACAACAAACTTTTGCCGAGCCAATTGGAGAGTTTCATCACCAGCGGGGTAAAAACCACCAATGAGCGCTCAGCTCGAGATACCAGCGAGTCGTTTCCCATCAAGCATTTCACTTCCACAGCCCGTGGAGAGGAACTGCGCCGCCTCGCCGTGCCTCGCTCTCAAGAGGCGCATTCACACTGCGGTACTTTTCCCACAAAGGTTCATGTGAACTTAGTTCATGTGAACTCTTTAGTTCGCATGAACTAAGTACAGATCGCGTTCACACTGGAAAAAGTCCCTGGGGGTGGATTTGGCAAATGAAGCCGCTGACGTCACTTCTTCTTCTTCTGCTTTGGGTTTACTGGCAGGCCGCAAACCACTTCACGGCGTATACTGCCGCCCAAAGTCCCCGGCCGGAAGTCAACGGAGTTGGGGACTGGCTTCAGTAGAAGCTGCTGGGACTCCCAGCAGCTTCTACTGAAGCCTTCCGAGTAAATCGCCAGAACGCCGACACCTCCTCATCTCCATCGCTCCCATGTTTTATTTTGTGTTGCCATAAGTTAGTCTCTCTGCGTTTCTGCGCTGGGCTAATGCTAATAATGCTAATGCGAGGATAATAAAATGGCGGCTTCACAAAACTTTTTGGGAGTTTTACGGGGCGTGGTTTGCAATCCGCCCAGCCAATCAGAAATATAGCTCTTTTCTCACAAAAGAGCCGCTCGAAAGTCCCTGCTTTCTAGCAGGGACTTTCGAGGGGGTAAAAAGGTTCTCATGAACTAATTTTAGTACCGGCTCTTTTTGGTGTGAGCGCGATAAAAGAGTTCTCATGAACTAAGTTCACATGAACCTTTGTGGGAAAAGTACCGCAGTGTGAATGCGCCTAAGGCTGCGGGCGTCTTTGTCCCGCGAGATTTCAACGTCTCATGTAGGCGAGCTTCCAGAGCAAGTCGGACAAAATGACTAACCATCATGCAACGCACTAGCAAGACGTTGATCGCAACTGCGCAGGTCTCGCTTGTCTCAAACAAGCCTACTGTCTTTTCACCGACATCTCTTCACCTGCACTAGTGGCCGTATCAAAGCCGTGATTGGTCAGATGTCGATTCATTGCAACGGTGTCGAGTTACAGACGTGCTCCCCTTGTCACCTCTCACTCTCGCGGATCAGCAGGGGGTGCGCGGAGAACTGCCTGGAGAACTGCGTGGAGAACTGTGCACAGCAGCTGAGGCCCTCTGGGCGGGGCCCCCTGCGCAAGGCGGGGCCCCATGCAGCTTGCGTGATTGGCCTGTTACACCATAAAGGTGCACAGCTGATATAAAGGGACACCTAGTGGTTAAAGCATGTTATTGAATTTCATTATTTTTATTATTAGATATTAATAGGATCCCTATAAAGTATATTCATTACTCGTTATTCTCTACTAATAGTTCATTAAAGACTGTATATAATGACTATTTTGCACATCCCTTTCAAGATTTTCTAAGTTTTATTGACATATCATATTCACAAACGGTGTAGTTATGCATTGAATTAAAAACTTGGGTCGCAGGTTCCTCAATAGTGCATTACAAGACATCTATCAATATTTGTGCATACCTCCAGCAATGTTAACTATGTTGAAGCACTTATTTTAACTGATATTATACATATGTATTATACTCTTATAAGATGTATGTAGATATTTCATCTCCGGCCTTGTCAGGTATTGAACAATCAATAAATAAAGAACACAGAATTGTTAAATATAAAACAGAATTTGTGTGATTATACTAAATGATTTACAAATAAACACCACTGCATATTTACAACTGTTACACATGCTGATGTAACGCAAATGTTTCCAACTTGGGATCAATAAAGTATATCTTATCTTGAGCTGATCGATGGCTCCTGCCATATTTGCAAAAACAAATCCTCTGAACCTTGACAAGTGCATGTTTCAGGCTTATCAATTAATTTAATGTAATGTTATCAATTAACAACAGGAGGGGTCACAAACATAAGACCAGCTGTTAAATAAAGCTCTTCTGACCTTAGCTGGCATGTGGGTATATATATTAATGCTGCCCATTATGGGCACAAGCAATTTTCACCCATTTATTAATTATATGTTTTAAATTTGAGTGTTTCCTATCCCCTAAACCTCCAGGGATGTACAGTTTAATACTGGCAACGTCTTATTATGGGAAATACGAAAACGTCTTTTAAAAGCGGTGGACCCGTTCAAATCCAGTTTTGGACAGTCTGCCGTGGTTCCATCCCATTTCAAGTGCTGTTCGACGCTCGGCGTAACCCTCGGAGCACACTCTCCAATCACAGAGCTTGAGGACTATCAAGAGGTTTGTCAAGCGAAGCGGAGAGAATACTTACTTCCCGGTGTAATATTCTCTAAAGCAAATGAGCTGCTCCGACCCTCGGTGCTGACGGACTCCAACTTGTGTTTATTAATCAAACAAATAAATAAACACAAGGATAATCATGTGTTATTGTTGAGTAAATGGAGAATTGCACAAGGGAAAATAACGTAGGCTATCTCTGCCACAATTTTAGATGCGGATTTTGTTAAATTAATATGTTTGCGCTGTGGACCAACACTATACATTGACGGGGAAGGGGGGTAGCAATAAAGATAACACCATTAAACAGTTACACAACATAACAGAAATAATATCGATAGCAGCGTCCCTAGCAACAAGTAACAAGTAGTTAATAATAATAAAAGACATTAAGAAAAAGGCATTTTAAACAGTCATTAAAAAGCAACACAATCTACCTGCATTGCATTACTCTAAACGTGTAATAACGTGCTTTAACCAGTAGGTGGTTTGGGTTAAAAAGCTGTCAAGTTTACAGTGTTAACAAAATAAAATATACTGCTATTTCTGGTTTAGTTTATGATGGATATATTTAGTTATTGTTTTGATATTTGTAACACAAAAGCGATGGAAAAAACCCACAGCAACACAGAAAAGATGGTCTTAACATGACCCAGTGGTCTAGTAGTTAATAAAAAACAATAATATCAAAACAAAATATTACTACTAACTTTATTGTGAAATTCAAACTGAACGGTAAAAGAATAGTTTCCGGTCTATTCTGAGCCCGATCTCTGTAGATAAATAAAAATAAAGAACTACGACAGATGTGTAATATATTTAATGCAGCCGAACCATTTATTACAATGCATTCATGTGATGACTTTCAAAGAGTAAAGCAAGCACTGCTGAATAAAGTATGATTTTATCTTTTACGAAACGTTTTTTCATATGGAATGCAGTTGGAGGTCAACCAATCACAGAGCTTGAGAACTAATCACGGGGTTAGTCAAACAGAGCACATGGTGTAGTCCTAAACGATAGCTGGGGATTCTGGGTAGTGTAGTGTCTTCTGCCATACTTTACTCCGAAAAAATATTTCTTTCTCCGAATCGAAGGGGGAAAATACAAAAGCATTGCACACAATTTAAACCAATCAATGTTGTGTAATTAACAAGGATAATCTGGTGTTTTTTAGTCGATGAGTAGTGCAGATATCACTGTAAAATCAATCGACAGTAAGGGGAATACTTACTTCCGGGTGTACAATTCTCCGTTATCCAATGGGAATGGACGCTCACATTGCCTTTAAGGGCAGCCGACACAAACGAATGCCGTGCTTCCATGAGCGTCAAATCCCGCCGCAGATGGGAATACATTGCAATCAGTTGAAAGCTATTTGCGTCCCTTTATGAAGCTGAAGGAGCCTAGGAGCGTCACAACTGCACGCCACGGGACCCTGACCAAACGTCGCTCCTGGACGATTATGGAGTGAGAGCAGGGGTGGAATGGGACACAAATTCAGCCTTGGCATTTTCTGTCCAGACCAGCCCACTACATTATCAGCGGACACTACTTAGAAGTCCACTAATCTCGCGGCATCTTCACTCATGCATACTACAAAGGAGTCATATTCCTTGATAGCAGTTAACAAATAAAGCACTTAACTATGAACTAAAGGACTAAAATTGACAGCTATAGCAATCAATCAATCAATCTTTATTCATTATAGTGTCAAATCACAACAGAAGTTATGTCATGACTAGGGGTGGGACAAGACTAACGGGAAGAACCCTTATGATACCCTTTCAGTTTTTAGTCTGTGACTGTGAAAATCTTTTGGTGTAAGCCCAGTATTAGTTAAAACCAGACTCGGACAATAATAACAAAAACATATCCTGACAAATAATCTAAATAGAAACATATTACAGACAGTAGCAGCATTAGAGCTGAAACTCACTCACTCAACGGTGACACAGTCATTATGAAACCATAAATAGAGAATTGGAAGAAAAAAAAAATATATATATATATAGCTGTGTGAAAAGTCTAAGACATGGGTTACAGGTCTGAATAGATATGCATTCTCATATACGCAGTATTGAAAGTGTGCCGGTCCTACCCGGTCCTTAGTACCGGTAAGAGATTTCCAGGCGGTCCGGAGGACCAGGAAGAATTGACAGCTCCACCCGTGGAATTTATACTACGAAGGGAAGATATTTGGTTTGGATTACTGGTCTGGGGGAAGCTCGCGAGTGTGCGAGTGTGTGTGTGTGTGTGTGTGTGTGTGTACGTGTTTGTGTATTTTTGCGTTTGTGCGTATTGTGTTTGTTTCCCGGGGGAAACACTCACGAGAAACACCGGCTGTTGTTATGCCTGCTGTGACAGTAAGTTGCTCCGTTCTCCGCTTGTAATTATGCCGTTAAAAGCTTCAAAGTTGTATTTATCATCTGAATTTGCCGAAACAAGTTTAATATTCTGAAAGCCAAGACTTTGTTTAATTGAAATCAGATGAAAACAAACTGTAACGGACCCTGCCGTGTTATCTATGATTACTATACTCTTTCATAATTTCAGCCGGAGGGAGGGGGGCGGCGCTGCGGAAGAGCAGATTGTGAGGGAGAGGTGCCTGTATTCGTCCCTTGACAAGCTTCAAAAATGTATTTATCGTGTGATTTTGGAAATAAAAGTTTCATATTCTGAAAGCCAAGCCTTTGTTTGTTTAAAATCAAACAAAACACCCGAACCCCGAAAAAAATTGTTTTTTACGTAAATCCACATTTATTTTGAAATGAGCCGTTGTGACTTCCGACTAATTTCGATAGAGCGGGTCACATATTGTCAAGTGTTTCTAATTTCTACTTCATAAAGGCATTAAAAATGTGAAGTTTGTGTTCAGGGATGCATGAAGCTGGGGGCGGGAGGAGAACAATATGAACCAATGAAGGTCGGGGTAGCATTATAGTACCTGCAAGAAATTCAAACCACTTTCACCCCTGCATATACGTGTATGTGCACAAGTATGTATTGCTCTACTTCCTCGTCCGCAGCCAGCCAGCTCCACTCCTCACCAAATTCGTGACCTGCAAGAAACAGCAAACAGAACTTGTACTCAGTATCTGTGTACTGACAAGTATATGTAGCCATGTAGCCTTTTTGTGACGTAGTGACACTTAGTGAACAAATGTATCTGTCATGAAGGATGACTTAAGTCTCAAAAGAGCCCTAAGGCCTACCTGCATAACTGTTAATTGAACTTAAAAGATATGCAGATGTTTGAAATTAAAACCATCAATATGAAAATCTTCAGCCAGGAAATAATCATAATCAAACCTTTTGTTTCAATCTGAGACAAAACAAGTTGCATAATAAACTCACAAAGTCAAGACGAAGCTCTCAGATATGATGGATGACTCAAGCATCATAGAAGAACTTCTAGCAGGTCAGGAAAACCTGTTTGACAGGAGATAATGGTAGCAGAGAATATAAAGAGACATTTATGAATTACCAATTGTCATTTTATCACACATATAGTATGTTTCTTCACATAAACCTTTAAACATACACATATTTCATTCCTCTCACCACATGAAATAAGCCCAGGAACCCAAAAGTGGCCCAGTGAATGATGGAGGAGACAAAGCAGGTCCTCAAAAGGGGACAGAGGGAAAACAACTTATTAGGCTCTCATATACTGTATAGGGTGGTCAACCTAAAAGAGACATGGAAACATTATTAAGTCTCTCATCATCACAAATCAAGTATGAATTCATATAACATTATAAGACACATGACATACTCAACTAATCATAGACTTCTCAGTAGCCAAAAAGTGGTGAAGTGGAGGCAGTAAGGGAGCAAATCCTTGAAAATGGACGGAGGGGGAACAACTCCTCAAGCTCTCACATGTCAAGTGGTCAACCTGAGAGGGAATTGGATACATTATTAAGTCTCTAATCATCACAAATTAAGTATGATTTCATAAAACATAACAAATGATAAACTCACCATACTAGAGGAGACTCAACAGCCAAACTTTGGTGCAGTGAAGGCAGAGAGTGGAGGCAGAGAGAGAGCAAGTCCTCGAACATGGACGGAGGGGGAACAACTCCTCAAGCTCTCACATGTCAAGTGGTCAACCTGAGAGGGAATTGGATACATTATTAAGTCTGAAAAATAAATAAAATGTTTTCCTCTGTCCTGCACCTAGAGTTGAAAACTTTTGGGATGTGCGTTTCTTTCAAAACTTTGTTAAAATTATGAAGTATGAATTTATACAACATTAAAAAATACATGATAAACTTACCAAATTCTAACAGTGGTCCCAAATGAGAGAACAAGTCCACATATAGAACAGAGGGAGAACGACTCCTCAAATATATCAGAACAACCTGTAGTGGAGAATAATTGATCATTTAGTGTACATGATCACACCATTAAGGATCAACACATGAGCACAATAACACTTCTGAAAAGCATCATTCAAATGACAAATAATGAATTACTACATCCATAATGTGTGATGTGTGATAATAACAATAATATGAAATATTTCTCGCCTTATCAGTGGAGCAGCTTTTTAAGCAGTTCACTCTTCTCTGCAAGTCTGTCTATCACAGAGTCAGAGTCCAAGGCCATGAGGATGTCTTTCTCTGTGGCCATCAACATAAATGCCTCCAATTTCTCAGATGAGAGGGTGCTTCTGAGTCTGTTTTGAATAAACTTCAAAATTGAAAATGTGCGCTCACAAGCCACCTGTGTGAGGGATAATGTAAGCAGGTATTTATAAGCAAGGCCTAGGACAGGGTATGCATCTGTTAGCATGTTGAAACGGCGAAGTATCTGGTAGCAGCACAGAGGGCATTCTTTGCAGGAGCAACAGCTTATGGGAGTTATCTCAACCTTTTCTGTGTTGTCCTCCTCCTCACCACCTGATCCATCTTCTACTGTTCTTGCTTTGTACTCTGCCAATGGGGATGCCTTCAGCCTGTTCCACTGGTGTGCAAAGCTTTTCAACTCGGCCTGCAGATTTTCCTTGGTTGCCCTGCTGTCAAATCCTTGCAAGCACTTGCTTAAGTCTTGAAGGGCAGACTGGGGAAGAGCACTGGTGCAGAGCTGAGGGAAGTTTCTGGGATCCAGACATGCCAAGTCAGCATATAGATTGCCGTGTGTTAAAAAGCACCTATGAATGGCTTCAATTGTCCATGATCCGGTTATGCACATTCAATGCATCTATCAATGAGTTCACTGTGGTTTTGGAGAGTAAAGTTACAAGGGAGCCTCTGCCTCTCGTGCCACCAGACAAATGCAACTTTTTGCTGTTCTCAATGCAGCTGTCCAGGTGCTCTTTTAAACAGAAATCATACTTCCCCAGTAGAAGTATGAGTTCCAAGAAATTACCATGATCAACTGTGTGGTCTTCCAGAGTATATGCTGCCTCATTTTTTGACCTCCTGTATGCAAGCCCCCTCTTCCCAAGAACCTTGATGACATCTATGATGCGCTCCAAAACCTGCCGTCTCTTTCTGACCTGCTCTCTGTGCGCCGACATCTGACTGCCACCAAACACACTGCTGATATCAGCACTGGCGGATTTCAAGAGGTAAGCTTCAGCACAGTTTCTGTGTGCACTGCTTCTCTCATGCTCCTCTGTGCGCTGTTGTATATGCCTCCAATCTGACATTCCACTGATGAACAGACTGCTATCAGTTCTCTTACCGAATGCCATGCAGATGAAACAATACAGCATGTGACGCTCTGGACAGCACGTCAGCCACCTTCTACTGGTGACGTCTCTGCTACAGAACACTTTCTGCACCACTGGATTGCTACTTTTTTGCTGAGGATGGTCATTTAAAAATGACTGGAGATTTTTCTGATCAGGTTGTGAAAAAAAATCTGTTATTTGACTGGCACACTCATAGCTCTCAACAGCTGTTTCCCTCTCAGGTGATCCAGTCTTTGGGCTGACATACTCCTCACTCTCTACAGCTGTTTCCCTCTCAGGTGATCCAGTCTTTGGGCTGACACACTCCTCACTCTCTACAGACTTTTCCCTCTCAGGTGATCCAGTCTTTGGGCTGACATACTCCTCACTCTCTACAGCTGTTTCCCTCTCAGGTGATCCAGTCTTTGGGCTGACATACTCCTCACTCTCTACAGCTGTTTCCCTCTCAGGTGATCCAGTCTTTGGGCTGACACACTCCTCACTCTCTACAGCTGTTTCCCTCTCATGTGATCCAGTCTTTGGGCTGACATACTCCTCACTCTCTACAGCCTTTTCCCTCTCATGTGATCCAGTCTTTGGGCTGACATACTCCTCACTCTCTACAGCCTTTTCCCTCTCAGGTGATCCTGCCTTTGGGCTGACATACTTCTCACTCTCTACAGCCTTTTCCCTCTCAGGTGGTGCAGTGTTTGGGCTGCCTGAATTGGTCTGGCTCTCTCCCTGAACTGACCAGCTGGACTTGCCCTGAACCTGTCTGGGCTGGACATAGGGAACGCATTTATCATTGGATGGGGAAATAACTCAAAACCACAGAATAATGTACAAGATAAAAGATTAGTTCATATTGAACGAAACGTTCGCGAGCGTAACAACACTAGTGGCTTTGCCATGTTTTCATTATGACACTTACTAGTGTTTTCCAATGCAAACAAGTCAGATCTTTGTGACAATACCTGAAAATGCTCAAGACAGCACTATACACAGCCATTTGAAAACTACAGTAAAAGTAACACATTTACACAGAAATTAAAGTTACACACAAATTATGAAATAGTTATCACCTCAGTAAACAATAAATGAATTGAAAGATTACAATAAATTCAATGGCAAATATTGCAAATTAAACTAATTATTTCCTATAGGTTTACTTGTATTTTGTGCTAAAATTCAAAGTATCTCATCTGTATTTACAATACAGCTTGATTCTGCATCTCTACTTACAGCTCGTTGGTCCATGTGAACGTTTACTGTTGCTATGGCAACAAGAGACCGCTGACGTTAGCAGCTCTTAGCTAGCCTAGCTAAATCATCTGAACAATAATAACCCATAATATCACAATTCTGCATATTTAAACAAAAGCAACCACAACTACCAACATTCACAGCCCTTCAAATCTGGACGACGCTGAAGTTGGCGTCCGATTCAGAGCATCCGATTCGGCAGTTAAGGGGAAAGTTAAGGGACATTTAATTTACAGCGCTGAGCGAACAATCCTCCGTGTTTGAACCTCTTAAATCGCTGCATAGCCGATTTATTTGGACTGGATTATCCCAGAGAGTCTAAAGATTCTTTATAACCCAGTTTCAGATTTGTGAAACCTTTATTCTATTTGTGAAAATACAAAAAAGGGAGATTTCAGTGCTTTTTTCGCATCCTGACCACATTAGACCAGGTCCTGATCTGAAACCACTAGACCTAGACTCATCAACTCTGGACTGGATTATCCCACAGAGTCTAAAGATTCTTTATAACACAGTTTCAGATTTGTGAAACCTTTATTCTATTTGTGAAAATACAAACACAGGTGGAAGGCTGAGGTTGCTGCAGCAGGCCAGGATCAGGATCAGAGAGTGAACCTCCCAGCTGGGCAAGCCTTTATGCCTTCTTGTATTTTCACAAATAGAATAAAGGTTTCACAAATCTCAAACTGTGTTATAAAGAATCTTTAGACCCTCTGGGATAATCCAGTCCAGATTTGATGAGTCTAGGTCTAGTGGTTTTAGATCAGGACCTGGTCTAGATTTAAAAAAGCAGCAAAATCTCCCTTTTTGTATTTTCACAAATAGAATAAAGGTTTCACAAATCTGAAACTGGGTTATAAAGAATCTTTAGACTCTCTGGGATAATCCAGTCCAAATAAATCGGCTATGCAGCGATTTAAGAGGTTCAAACACGGAGGATTGTTCGCTCAGCGCTGTAAATTAAATGTCCCTTAACCAGGGCTCGACATTAACGACTGCCCGATGGCCCGGGGCCATCTAGTATTTAGCTCGGGTAATGAAGCCTCACCTGCTGGTTGCCCGATCGGGCAATCCATTATGCCAGTATCATGCAGCTCGCGGATCCAGTAATGAGTGACCCGACAGTAAAACTAAACATATCTATAACTAGTTTAGGTAGTTTGAGAGGTAATTAAAATAGCTACGTGTGATATTCTAACCTGAAGTGTGTGTTTTGTCCGCTCACCGCTGCAGGTGATTATGCAGAGCTGCGTGTCGACTCGTCAGCAGCAGCTGATATCTCTCTCCCGTCAGATTAGACTTCACTCGCGTTTATCTCCATATCGATCAGATCCAGCTAGTTCTAGCTAATGATATGACTACCTGCTTATTAAAAGACACCTAAACAATAAGTGTCGCTATGCAACCGGGTGAGGCCACAAAGTATAGCGCATGCATTTGTTTACATGCCCACCGGAACCCCGAGGCATTACCAACAGATCAACGCACAATCAACCCATACAGGACATCTCTTTCTCCACATTAAGTGTTTGACACTAGAATTGACTCACATACTCTTCTTGTCTGTCACATAAGTGGCGCAACTGAAGCGGTATTGCGCTAAAGGGAAATTATTTTGACCGGAGAGATTTAGATTTGCCGGCTAACGGGAACTCTGACGTCACCATTTTGTGTGCTTCGCGGATGCGCTCGGCTCCTCTCGACTGCTTCTCGGGTCTGCTCGGTCAGCTTCCGGATGAGGAGGCATTCGTTCGACCAACTCACAGTAGATAACATTACAAACATTTTTAACAGGGGCCATAATAGTGTAAATAATGTTTGTTTTGGCAGTTATAACTGAATGTAATGTTTTCTACTTTTTTACATCTGGGAAGGCATTTGCCTTCATCAGATGGAAAGTGTCTTGACCAACAACTTAAGTATTTCTTATAGCTATGCAGGGCATGCAAGCGAGCACACACAAACAAGAACAAACAAACAAGTGAAATTAAGAATAACATTGAAATTGGTGGTTCATCTTATAATTCAGTCTAGAGAATGCACCAGACAGCATCTAAGACCTGCAAAAATCTAAATGTTCTATAGAGGGAGGCCCCCCAAACCCTTCGTGCGTCATTTCGTCCGCGCGCATTTTTCAGGGCAATCTCTATTGGGCTCAGGGCCATCTGTAAATTAGCTTAGATGGCCCACAGGGCCATCTCCCAAAATCCTTAATGTCATGCACTGTTAACTTTCCCCTTAACTGCCGAATCGGATGCTCTGAATCGGAAGCCAACTTCAGCGTCTTCAACTCTGGGCTAATATGTTGTCACAAGTAGGACTATGCAGTTAATTAGGTCACATCACATTCAATGTAAAAACGTTTTCTACTTTTTTTTTGTACATGTCTAAAAAATGTAGCCTAGCCAGCCCCAGGCTAAAGTTACTTACCATGTATGCCTCCACTCGCTCGTCTCCCGGCGCAGCAGCACCTGCTGGGGTGGTGACCCCGGCACCAAATAGGTCCGTCAATTTAGAATATTTAGCAGCCTCCACCTCCAGAGACTTCAGCTTTTTAAGTCGCAGTTTTCAGCGCTACCCGAGCGTTTCTTCCGCTTATCCATTTTCTGCTCAGCCCCAGCCCGTCCCGCGACTCCCGCCCATGCCATGAGGTCCCGCCCCACCCTGGTTTGTGTTGTGATTGACAGCACTGTCAGGGCTCTCTGAGCCTGTCAGCCCATGATTGATTGACAATGACAAACAATAGACCAATAATATGTGTCGATGCTGGCAACACACTGCTAGCCCTCTGTATCAAATTGGCCGGCCCAATTGGAGGGAATTTAGAGTAAAAAAAGAAAAGAAAAAAAACAGACAGGACCGGCCCACATTGGGTCAACGGACCACCGGGACGATGCCCGGTATGCCAGATGGCCAGTCCACCCCTGAATGAGAGTGTGTTGTCAGAACAGTCTCATAATACACATTACATTTACATTACATTGCATTTAGCTGATGCTTTTATCCAAAGCGATTTACAATAAGTACATTCGACCAGGAAGACACAACCTTGAAGAAAACAGAATCATATAAGTACATCAGGTTTCATAGAGCCAAACATTTCAAGTGCTACTCAACTGGCTTTAGATAAGCCAGTCCTTTATTAGTATTAAAGTGCTCTGTTAGCAGTTCTTTGTTAGTAGTTCTATCGCTCGAGGTGGAGTCGAAAGAGATGAGTTTTCAGTCTGCGCCGGAAGATGTGCAGGCTTTCTGCTGTCCTGATGTCAATGGGGAGCTCATTCCACCATTTAGGAGCCAGGATATTAAACCCACGTGTTTTTGCTGATGGGAACTTGGGTCCCCCTTGCAGCGAGGGTGCAGCGAGTCGTTTGGCTGATGCAGAGCGTAGTGCACGCGCTGGGGTGTACAGTTTAACCATGTCCTGGATGTAGGAAGGGCCAGATCCATTCGCAGCATGGTATGCAAGTACCAGTGTCTTGAAGTGGATTCTAGCAGTTACCGGAAGCCAGTGAAGGGAGCGGAGGAGCGGAGTGGTGTGGGAAAATTTAGGAGGGTTGAAGACCAGACGAGCCGCTGCATTTATAATACACACATACACACAGAAGGATTCACACTTGTATTTCATGATCCACTTGTGTTTTTCAATGCACACACAAATGTGTTCCGTTTCATACATGTAAATAAAATCCAAATACAGAAAAAAGTTTTACATATGTATTTTTGATCCTCACATTTGTTTTCCGTTTAAATCCTCTGAACCTGCAAACACAAACCGCTTTCTGTGCACGGATCGCTGTGCATTCGTGTGTGGGTTTTTTGAGACTCCCCTGATGGTTAGCCGATTCGTACTTGTAATTTGTTCTATCTATAGCCAATCAGATGTTTCCTCAATTCTAAGCCAATCACATGAGCGCGCCCCCACGAGGGTAGATTTCTTGCGTTCATGACGTAGCGCTTCATGTACGCATTTTGCGCTGTCCGGAGCTGCAGGTCCATGGAGCCTGCCTGCAGGCGCTAATCTCAGGACACCTCCACTCTCAGTACAGCGCCACTTTCCGAACAGGAAATGCACGCAAATACAAGCCTTTATATTATTAAGGTACAGCGCCACTTTCCGAACCATTGATGAATGCTTGTGTACACAAAAACGGCAGGCAAAACCGTTTTAAATGTGTGTTTCCTGTATGGCGAATACAGCTGCTTTATTTATGTCTGTATGAAGTTGTTGTGAGTGTGGAGGGAGCAGCTACAGGTTAGCTTAGCCTAATCGATCAGTGCACTACGAAGCCAGTGCTAGACAGTGACCTGTTAACGGGGGGAGCCCCGCCGGTCATTATCGGCCGATATTCACTCTTAATAGTTTGATCGGTGCTCTCTATAAAGGCCGAACAGGAGAACTGGATCTGATCGATATGGACATAAACGCGAGTGAAGTTTTAGCGAGCTGCATGAGAAACTGACGGGCTGTCAGGAGAGAGGAAAAGAGAGGATACTCCCGTGTTATTAGCCATATCCGGTCATAGTCCGGAAATTACCGGAAACTCTGCTACACAATTCTTATTCTTATTATTATTGAAACATGTCCGGTAAAATAAATTCTGTCCGCGGAAACCCTGCTCCGGACAGCGCAAAATGCGTATATGAAGTGTCATGAACGCAAGAAACCATACCCTCGTGGGGACGCGCTCATGTGATTGGCTTAGAATGAAGGAGACATCTGATTGGCCATAGATAGAAAAAATTACAAGTACGAATCGGCTGACCGTCAGGGGATTCTCAAAAAACCCACACACAAATGCAAAGCGATCCGTGCACAGAAAGCGGTTTGTGTTTGTAGGTTCAGAGGATTTAAACGGAAAACAAATATGTGAGGATCAAAAATACATATGTAAAACTTTTTTCTGTATTTGGATTTTATTTACATGCATGTGAAACGGAACACATTTGTGTGTGTGTTGAAAAACACAAGTGTGGATCCGGAAATACAAGTGTGAATGCTTCTGTGTGCATGTGTGTATTATGAGACTGTTCTGAGCGCATAAAGGTGAGCATATCTCCGTGTTTTGCTACCTAAAGCTACTTGTGTGTTGTCTGTATTTGCTTCCCCTGTCACGAGTTCAGATCGCTCAGTGATGATCCTTATATTTATATAATCTGTGGAATCTCAGGATGTTATCTAAGCTTGTTTGTGCAGATCCAATAAGTATATCGATCGGTATAGCTAGAGTTCTGTGCTAACGGCTTTAATATCTTTTTGCCCGTGGCTAATTCAGAGGCTCAGCGATAGCTTTGAGGTTTAAAAAAAAAAAAAAAGATCAGTTAGCTGAGTTTCTTCCCGTTACATAGATATGAAACATTCATAGTTTATTAAATGTTAAGAAGCCCTCAGACACTTTTGCTTGCAGATGTTGTGATTTCGGCCCCTTCCGTCCGTGGGGTTTAAGAGGTAGCATGTTGAAGTTTTTCCATATGGAGCCAATTTAGATACTTTGTAAAACACCAGGTTAATTAATATTACAGTATCCTATGCATCACTTGGTATAAACATACTGTACAAATACAAAGTAGATAACTGAGTTTTAAATAAATGCAGTAGAGTAGAAAGTAGGCTATAATATTTGCCTCTGATATGTAATGGGGTAGAAGTATATAATAGCAAAAAAATAATGTTATGGTCTTTGAATAAATGTGATTAGTTTTTAAAATTCCAGTGTGGCAGTATGAATGTAGGTGGGCTCAGAGCCTCTGAGTCATTTGTTCTGTGACATAAATAAAATAAATGGCTCTTCCTTTTTATTACGAGGTGTTATGCATGAGGCTTCCTCTGAAAGGGACGCAAGCTCTGACACACTCACATCATTCATTGATTAAAAGAAGGACAACATGTATTTTAAACCCCATTGTCCAGGAACACTGTGTCCTAGAAGTCTTTGTGTGTGATGGTAACAGAACATCAAGTTCCCAGCATCCCTTGGGTTCAGGTGCTTTGGATTTATATTTGGAAACTGAGATGTACTGCCACCTTCTGGTAACTTTAGCATCATCTTCAAAACATTGTTGTGAACATAATACAACTTTGTGAACATACAGTTGAATATCTTGAGGTATTTATGGTTATTAATATACACCAACATGAAACATTGCACTTTCAATGTGAATTGCTTAATTGCTCATATGCTCAGACACATTTGACACATACAGTGCAGTGCACGTAGAAGTGAAATAAGTACTCAGATAGTTATATAAAAAAGTAAATATATAAAGTACTCAGGTCTTCCCTCTTACCAAACAAGAGCCTTACATTCCCCTTATTTAAACCATCCAGTAAATGTTCTGTATAGGATATTGTGGGTTAAATATCTTAGAAAAACATTCTTTTAAATAATCCTTAAAGCAAAATGTAGTTACGGTTCATTATTATTTATATGTTTAAGGCAATGTAGGGCAATACACATTCATAAACATGAGCACTTGAGTCCATTCCTAACCCTAACCCTAACCCATGTAAAAGAGCACATAAGCATAGCAAAACAAATACAGGAAAACAATTACTGCAAATAATCAAAGTAAAAACACATGAGCACAGTAACAGCACATTGAAAATGCATATGTCCAATTAGCACATTATTCCAAAGCACCAAGCGGCAAACTCTTGGGCAGAGCCGGGAGGCCAATTAGGAAGTGCCTCAAACTGCAGTTAATCTAGTGGCCAGTAGGAGCAGTCTGCAGAAGGGAGCAATTTCCATAGACCCCCATGTTAAAATGCCCAACTTTCCAGTAGAAATAAACATGTTTACATCATGGTTAAAAACGGACATAAGGAGCTGTTTGTTCTACAACAAGCTGGAGGAGAGTCCTCTCCTCTCAGACTGAGAGACTCAGGTGAGCTAAAGGACTCTCTGAGTGTTTAGATAGTTAACTTTAGTCTAAGTTATCTCAGTGGGTCTCAAACGGTTTGGTCACAAATTATTCAAAAGATTATTTCCGCGGCACACCTTGATATTAGAGATGGCAAATCCGGATCCTTTTACGGACTCAGGGTCTTCTGAGTCAGTCATTGAAGAGATCCGGATCATACGAGTCATTTGAGTCATATGAGTCAGCATCACCAAGAGTGTAGAAATCCTACCGGTGAAACCGAAAACTTGTTGCATTTCACGAGCATATTAAACTGACGTTACATTAACCTCTGCTACACAGTGTCTTTTGCTTTAATAAAAAATGTTGATCACAAACAAAAAGGATCATTTTGCGAATCTCAGTCTGCTGGATCTCTGGATCTGCTGCTATATGGTTACGGCTCTGAGTCCGCACGAGTGTGCTATGATTTGCACAGTGAGTCAGGATTTGCGAATCTCTGAGTCTGCTGTTGACTCGTGCATGACGACGAGTCTGCTGGATCTCTGGATCTGCTGCTAAAAGGTTACGACTCTGAGTCCGCACGAGTCTGCTGTGTTTTGCACAGTGAGTCAGGATTTGCGAATCTCTGAGTCTGCTGTTGACTCGTGCATGACGACGAGTCTGCTGGATCTCTGGATCTGCTGCT